ATGTGATGAAAATCAGGATGTCGCACGAGTTTGGTCAATACCTGTACATTTGGTAGCAAAAGGCAATAACATCGTGTTTAGAGTGCTGAATCCGAATTGTACACACATTCCCGGTCACCCAATCCATTCATCTAAAGGACAAGGTGCTCCTTACTGTTATCAGTCAGATACTCAGAATGTGACTAGAGGGCGGTGGTTTAAGATTCGTACAGTACATCCGAGTTGCGTCAATTAAACGCCACGGCTATTCACCATTAACCTTGCGACCCAAACTTCGCTGCTAACATCGATCATGGCCAATTACTAGCAGTGAAACCGTAAAACACCCTTGCTGTGGATGTTGATCACATTGCAGATGGACAGTCGGAGTTCGGACCATCGGGTTGATGCCACCACCACCACCGCGGTTCGAGGAACGTGCAGAAGTGCTATGAAGCCAACAGGGGGAACTGAGAGGACCTCTCATTTCACCACCAACCTGGCATTTTCGCGTACCGATTTCGGTTGCTGGATATTACAACTGCCTGTTAGGTCGAGCAACGATTAAGTGAATGAAAGCGTAGTACAGATACAAAATATACACAAAACGCAAACTTTCCGTTTCGTGCCACTTATACAAAAGAGAAATCTTATCCAGGACCTCGTCTCGCGTGCACAAAAGATGTGCTCCGAATCTACGTTCGCAGATGAATTTAATCCGATTAAAAACATTCTATGGTGAAACGGATACCCTAAAATGTTCATCGAAAGAAAACTAGAAGGAAGCTCCGAAGAAGCTGTTTATTAAACTGCCATTCAAAGGAAACGACCTGTCTGATCTGATTAGGAGACGTTCATCGCGTGCTGTGAGAGGACCTTTTAATGCAGCCAGGTTATCATGCATATTCACAGGCTCACCAACAATAAGAACATCCAGTAAAGACAGTTTACCTAAACTGGTTTCATCTATGGCCATATATTCCTTCAGCTGCGTTTGTAACGCAACCTACATTGGCCGAACGGCGAGGCAACTGTCTAAGCGGGTTAAAGAGCACTGTCCACGCTGGAAAAGGTGTCACAGGAAGCGCTATTCCTGCTCACCTAGCAAACTAGGGTCACCAAGTTCAGCCTTCAAAGTCATCTATCGAGTACCACCTCACTCATCCAAGTCGCTGCGTCTTCACATCCTAGCCGCTGTGGAAGCGACCGACATTCGTATGTTCAAACCCAATCTACGAGTACAAAAGAGATTGGCCCATGCCATTCAACTGCAGTGACCGAAGATCGATCGCACGGATGACGCATCAGAGTTTGATTGCAGTATTATAGTGATCTAGGGACGTGAAACACGTCACACTCCCTTTCAATCAATCACCGTGACTTTTAAATGATTGAGTGACTATACCCGTTCAGCATGCCATTTCTTTATTTGATCTGTACAGCCAAGATGATGAATCATTGAAAACAATTGTTCGCCTCTGAATGTGTTATCATGTCAAACTAAATGTTTCTATTACCTCCCCGATGATCAGACATTTGCTAAGGAATCCGATTATAAGTCAACGAGCGAATATTAGTCATGACCAAAAGAAAGCGATCAAACGGGCTTACCTCATTTGTCGAGAAATCCGTCAACCAGAAATACCTGTTCCGGGTTACAAAATCATGAAGCATTACAATTGCAACAATACTGAAACCGATTACCTAATTATAGTTCAGAACTAGCTGAAACATCCTAACCGTTCGGGACACTTGCTGATGAAGGCACATTAATGATGCACGAAGGGTCGCGGGTTTGGACAAAACAAATTATTCTCATCGCAGTTTAAACGGCAAGTAACGCTGCACTTTCGAGTGGGCGGCTTAGCCATTGTTTATTGGTTAACATAGAAGACCCGGAGCCGCCACAGTATGACGAGGCATTTCAAATTAATTGAACCGATGCACTTTCTTATTACACACCTGCGTGTGATGAACAGCAGATGGGGTGAGCCCCACAGTCACGGGGACTTGCTGTTCAGTGGTGGAAACCGGTAACCTAAGCCCCGCGACTTGGGGTTATGAACCACATAAGGCCCCGTTAGCTTAGGTGTGGTTTGAACCGGATGACAGCAAAGCTGCCTACCCCCAAAGTTTGTTGGCGGTGGCGGGGATCGATCCTCGGACAATCAGGTCCAAAGCACGCCGGTGACAGCGATTAAACCACTGCGCCACCACCACAGTGCTAGTAACCAACCACTGAACTGATCCCGAAGCAAGGAAGTCAGTTTGCGACACATCAAAAGCTGTTCTGTTCATCGACCCAAGAAAACAAGACCTGAAGCCAGAATACGATGCTGTTCCGCGATAACCTTCGATTTGGGGCAGATCGGGTGGTGGTGGCACAGTGGTTCAGTCGGTCACTGGCGTGCTTCAGACCCCATGGTCCGAAGATCGAACCCCGCCGCCGCCAACAAACTTTGGTAGTAGGCAGCTTTGCTGTCATCCGGTTCAAACCACACCTAAGCTAACGGGGCCTTATGTGGCTTGCCACTCCAAGTCCCGGGGATTTGGGC